CGCCTGAAAATAAACAAATAGCTCATTAGTAACCGTCTAACTATGGTTACTGTGAGTCTAATTTTTTTTTTAAAAAAGGCAGCTCGACAACCGATGCTGGTGCGGATGTGGTGAGAAAGGGACACTCCTTCACTGTTGGTGGGAATGTCAACTGGTTCAGCCCTTCTGGAAAACAGTATGGACGATTCTCAAAAAATTAGAAATTGAGCTCCCATTTGACCCAGCAATACCACTCCTGGGAATATACCCCAGAGAGGCAAAAATGTATAGTCGAAGTGACATCTGCACTTGTTTGTTCATTGCAGCACTCTTTACAATAGCCAGAACCTGGAAGAAACCTGAATGCCCAAGAACAGATGACTGGTTAAAGAAACTTTGGTACATCTACACAATGGAGTACTATGTAGCTCTTAGAAAAGATGAAGTCATGAAATTTACATACAAGTGGTACAACATGGAAAGTATCATGCTAAGCGAAATGAGTCAGAAAGAGAGGGATAGACATAGAAAGATTGCATTCATCTGGGGGATATAAAGTAACAAAATATGAGATTAATACCCAAGAATAGCTGAGATCAGCACCAGGAGGATTACTCCATAGCTTAGTGGCCAGTCGGGCATTCTAGAGGAAAGGGCAGCTCAGATAGAGAAGGGAACACCAAATAAAGGGTGTTTGGAGGACCTTCCCAGGAGGGGAGATGCATGTCGAAAGTGGACTATGGACTGAACATGTTTGCCACTCAATGCCTCTTTTGCAGACCACAACACCCAAAAGGAGAGAGAGAACAAAAGGGAATGTCCTGCCACAGAGGCAGGGTGGGATGGGGGGGGTGGGGGTGGGAGGGATATTATCCATGGTGGTGGAAAGTGGGCACTGATGGAGGGATGGGTATTTGATCATTGTATAATCGAAACCCAAGCACAAAAAATTGTAAATCTACAACTGTACCTCATGGTGTTTCACTAATAAAAAGAAAAAAAATGAAAAAAAAAGGCAGCTCGTTAGGCATTAAAATAGAAGAAAACAAGACCAGTAGCCAATAGGCCAAAGAGGGGGCCGACAGGTGTGTTTCTCAGGGTTTGGCCTTTCGCTGCCCCACTGAATTCCTTGCTGGAGGGTCGCATTCTCCCTCCACAGGCCCTCGGCGGAATTCCACCACTTTCCCCTTCAGCGAGAAGCTCTGACACTCACCTCGCCACAGGCGAGATTGGAGGCTGCTGACTCACTTGACTCCTTGGCACCTGCATCGAGCAGACCGTGAGATTCGTTTTTACGGTGAACAGGAGGGGAAGGTCGCCAAGAGAACCGAGCCCAGCGTCCACGGTCCCAAGGACAGGCAGAGCTGCCCATCAGCCGAAGCAGGGCCAGGTAGGCGCCCGCAGGCATCAGCAGGGAGGGTGCTGGAAACCTCCTCGATGGAAAAGAACATGGCTTTGGGGGCCGGAGCAACAGTAAGCGGGGAGGGTGTTTGCCTTGCATGTGACCGACCTGGGTTCGATCCGCGGCATCCCATAGGGTCCTCTGAGCACCACCAGGAGTGATTCCTGGGTGCAGAGCCAGAAGTAACCCCTGAGCATCGCTGGGTGTGACAAAAAAAAAGCAAAAAATAAAATAATAAAAATAATAAAAGAACATGGCTTCAAGGGGCCGGGGGATAGCTCAGTCGCAGAGCACCTGCCTTGCATGTGGGAGGCCCTGGGTCCAAGCCCCCGCCTGACACCAAAGGGGAAGAAACAAACAAAACATCTCCTTAACCCTAGAATGAGACACTGGAAGTTAGTTCCTCTTTTGAGAGTTTCTCACGCATGGGCATGTTGAAATGAGACCCAAGTGTACTTTCCCGTTTCCATCGGAAGAATTTCCCTCTTCTGAAGTGAAAGTATTCCCGAGGCTCCTCTGGGCGGAGGGGCTGTGGCGAGTGGGGGCTTTCACACTCCTCACACAGACTCATCTCTCTGCAGCGTTGCCTTCCGCGAGGCCAGCAGCTGCACAAACGCAGGTTAAGGGCCAGAGGGGGAGCACAGCGGGGAGGGGCTAGCCTTGCTGGATCCCAACATCCCATACGACCTGCTGAGAGCAGAGTCAGGGGTAACCCGAGTGTTGCTGAGCCTGCCCGCCTTCCCTGAACCCCGCAAAAAAAAAAAGAAGAAGATTGATTTTAAAAAGTCTGTGTTACTATGCTGCGGCATTCTAGAGAGAAATGAAGACTCTGTATTTTCAAGAACCCACCGGTTCATGTTACACCAAGTCATCCCGTGGGCGCCCCTGCCAGGGAGCTCCACGCACAGGATGGGGTCTCCACACCTGCACGGCTTCCCACAGCCAGCGGGGTACAAAACTTCTATTCGTGGAACCCCGGGCCAAGAGATTCTGAAGCAACCCAACACCACAGTCTGGTCTGACTCTGTGGGCCAACTCAAGAGACACCAAGAAACGGGAACCAACGTTCAGCGGGGGCCCGGCCCAAAGATCCCGGGTTTCCTCCTGCAGAACAGTGCCCGGGAGAGCCGCAAACACCCCTCTTCCGCCCAGAAGAGATTTCCAGAAACCATCCTTCCCCCTCTGGGGCACGCGAGGGAGTAAAGAGAGATCCCTCAAGGCCCCCCACACCTCCCAGACAGTTGCCGGGTGCAAGAAACAGGGTGTCCCTATGTGAAGAATCTGAGCTCCACTCCCTGAAAGGGACTGGTGGTGATTTGTGCTTCACGGATTGCCAGCAATATTCTGGAAGCGAAATTCATCGTGAGTGTTTGTGTATGTGTGTGTGTGTGTGTGTGTGTGTGTGTGTGTGTGTGTGTGTGAGAGAGAGAGAGAGAGAGAGGAGAGAGGGAGGGAGGGAGGTAGAGAGAGGGAGGGAGTGAGTGAGAGGGAGGGAGAGAGAAAGGGAGAGAGAAGAGAGGAAAGAGGGAAGGAGGGAGTGAGGGAGGGAGGGAGGGAGAGAGAGAAGGAGGGAGGGAAGGAGGGAGGGAGGGAGGGAGGGGGAAAGAAAGAAGGGAAGGAAACCCAAAGGCTCAGAGACTAAGACAAACGTCCATGAAAGTAACAGGCCACACCACGGGCCCCCGGGTTTCTAGGGAAGCCATTGGGACGGGCACCAAGGAGGGCTCTGATTGTCTGATTCCAACTTCCTCGGTTGGAACATGGGGCTAGTTTCTTCCTCCTCGACAGCCCGGAGCATCCACGAGAGGCTCCGATGGTACCCAGGGCGGGGAAGAGGAGGGAAAGTTCCGAGAGAAGAAAACAGAAAGACAGAAACCTGAATGCCCAAGAACAGATGACTGGTTAAAGAAACTCTGGTACATCTACACAATGGAGTACTATGTAGCTGTTAGAAAAGATGAAGTCATGAAATTTACATACAAGTGGTACCACATGGAAAGTATCATGCTAAGCGAAATGAGTCAGAAAGAGAGGGATAGACATAGAAAGATTGCATTCATCTGGGGGATATAAAGTAACAAAGTATGAGATTAATACCCAAGAATAGCTGAGATCAGCACCAGGAGGATTACTCCATAACTTAGAGGCCAGCCGGGTATCCTAGAGGAAAGGGCTGTTCAGATAGAGAAGGGAGCACCAAATAAAGGATGTTTGGAGGATCCTCCCAGGAGGGGAGATGCATGTCGAAAGTAGACTATGGACTGAACATGTTTGCCACTCAATGCCTCTTTTGCAGACCACAACACCCAAAAGGAGAGAGAGAACACGGGGGATTTCCCTGCCACAGAGACAGGGGGGATGGGGGGATGGGGGTGGGAGGGATATTATCCATGGTGGTGGAAAATGGGCACTGGTGGAGGGATGGGTATCTGATCATTGTATAATTGAAACCAAAGCACAAAAAATTGTAAATCTACAACTTTAAAAAAAATAAAATAAAATAAAGGGAAAAAAAAAAAAGAAAACAGAAAGACAAACTGCCCCTCAGCGGGTGGGCGAGCAGCCCAGGAGACACGGTAGCCCACGAGCCTGAGCTCACAGAGACTTCTGGCGAGGAAGTCTCCCAGCTCCCACGCCCGCCAAAGCGGAAGCAGCTGGCTATAAGAAAGCAGAAGGGTCCTGAGCGCAGCGCGGATGACAGTCCCCGGCAGACGGCGGTGAGCCGGGTGTCCCCCGTGGTGCAGGTGAATATCCATCTCGCTCAGGAGTGGATGGACAGGTCAGGGAGGGGGTGTTGGCCGGGGGTGGGGGGTGGTGGTGCTTCGTTCAGAGGGACGGTCCACAGACCGACGCTGCGTGTAAACATCAGGGCTTGTGTTCAGGACCGTGATACAAGAAGAGGGTTCTTCTATCTGATAATGGGGGTTTTCGGATTGCTTAAGTACATGGGTACATGGAAGTCACAAATCACTCGAGATTTCTCAACCGTGATGACTGCAAGATGTGAATATGTGGCAAGTCCAAGTTTTGACCAAAAATATTGCTTTGGAAACAGGCAATGCTTTACGTGTGTGTGTGTGTGTGTGTGTGTGTGTGTGTGTGATTGCAGTGGAGGTGGGAATTTGGGGCCACACGAGGTGGGGCTTGGGGGCTACTTCTGGCTTAGTGTTAGGGTGAGGGGAGGGCGTGGGGGTAGGCAGACATGGCACCAGGTCTCAGAGCCCCGGGTCTCCGTGATGCAAATCCGTCACTCCCACGGATCGAGCTATTTCTCTGGCCCCTGCATTGCAGATTCTGGTTTTAGTTTTGTGTTTCTGTTCTGGGGCCCCATCCAGCGGTGCACAGGACTTATTCCTCACTCTGCACTCGGGGCTCACTCCTGGCAGTGCTTGGGGAACTGCATGTGGTACCGAGGAGCAGAGTGTGGTTGGCTGCGTATAAGACGAGCGCCCAAGGCGAGAGTCCTACCTGCGTATTGTCCCCTCTGGTCCCGCTGTATCTGTGGTGGGGCCAGGTGGGTCACTTCTGTCAGGCCAAGCCCAGGACCTCATTGCATGCACACTCACACCCCGGGCCCCGTTTTTGTCTGACTTCCTGTTTCTGTCTCTCCGCAAGAGCTGCCCGTGGATGCCATGAACGCGTCGGAGGCCGCGGTGAACGCCTCGGTGCCAAGGGGCTTCAACGGGTCCGAGCGGTGCCCGCGGGACGCGCGCATGGCCCAGCTGGTGTTCCCGGCCGCTTACACCGCCCTCTTCCTGGCCGGGATCCTGCTCAACAGCCTGGCCCTCTGGGTGTTCCTGCACATCCCGAGCAGCTCCACCTTCATCGTCTACCTCAAGAACACGCTGGTGGCTGACCTGCTCATGGCCCTCACGCTGCCCTTCAAGATCCTCTCGGACGCGCGCCTGGGCCCGTGGCAGCTGCGGGCCTTCGTGTGCCGCTTCTCGGCCATCGTCTTCTACGAGGCCATGTACGCGGCCATCATCCTGCTGGGTCTCATCGCCTTCGACCGCTGCCTCAAGATCCTCCGGCCCTTCGGCAAGTTCTTTGTGCAGAAGCCGGCCTTCGCCCGGGCCGTCTCGGCGCTCACCTGGACCTTTCTCGTCGCCCTCTCGCTGCCCAACGTCATCCTGACCGACCGGGAGGCCATGCCGGCCACGGTGCGCAAGTGCGCCGCCCTCAAGGGGCCCCGAGGGCTGGCGTGGCACCAGCTGGTCAACGACGTCTCGCAGGCCATCTTCTGGACGGTGCTGGCGCTCATGCTGCTCTTCTACGCCGTCATCGCCAGGAAGGTCTACGAGTCCTATCGCAGGTCCCGGAGCCGGGACAGCAGGAGCCAGAAGAAGGTGGAGGGGAAGGTGTTCGTGGTGGTGGCCGTCTTCTTCGTGTGCTTCGCCCCGTACCACTTCGCCCGCATCCCCTACACCCACAGCCAGACCCACGGCGCCGCCGCCGACTGCCGGCTGCAGGACCGGCTCTACCTCGCCAAGGAGAGCACGCTCTTCCTGGCGGCCACCAACATCTGCATGGACCCCCTGATCTACATCTTCCTGTGCAGGAAGTTCACGGACAGACTGCCATGCTGGAAACGGAGACGGCCCGCAGTCCCTGGCCCAGAAAACCACAGCACCCAGACGGACAACATGACCCTCAGCTGACGGCCTGGCGCAGGGGCCGCTGCCCTGGACGGTCGGCTCGGAGGTCAGAGCGAGGCAAGGGCCCGGGGTGGGAGCAAGTGTGTCTGCGTGTGGCGTGGTGCTGGCGAGCCAGAGGGGTCACAACAGATGTGCAAACGCCGCGGGGAGGCACGGAGAACGCACCAGAAGGAACAGAAGGAACCAGAAGGCCACAGGGTCTGCCCTCAGCAGGCACCATATACAGATGCTCGACTGTTCCTGTTCGTGTGTCATGTGTGGCCACACCCGGCCGTGTTCAGGGCTGACTCCTGCCTCTGCTCTCAGGGATCACTCCTGGCGGGGCTCAGGGCACCCCGGGGGTGCCGGGGATCGAGCCCAGGCAGCTGCGTGCAAGGCAGGTGCCCTGCTGCTGCGCTGCTTCTCTAGCCCCCGAATGAGGTTCTGAAACCTCCTCCTCTCCGGGTACCACGTCCTTCCACACGGCACTGCGGCCTTGTACCCCCCACCCCCGGCCTGCCTGGCCACTACGTGGTGATTTAGGGATGTCCCCTGGGGGAGGCCGGAGCTTGGGGCTGAAAAGGGTGCTGGGTCCAGGGTCTGGGGAGCTGACCAGGCCATATGGCCCCCCTGACAGTCTGTGTGGGGGGCATCTTGTTCCCTGCCAAGCACACGCCTGGCACGGTAGGAGCCCTGGCTCGGCCAACACCACCACAACGCCATAGCAGCACGGCAACAACAATAAGCATGCTGTGCGGGTCCGGATTCCGGTTTCCACTTCCCCGCCCCACAGAGCACTAGCTGGGATCCATGGTGCCACCTCCAGGCCCAGTCTCCTGGGGAATGAGGCTTCTCTTCTATGTCCCCAGCTTTCGGCTGAAAAGAATGGGATGAGGTGCGGTGGACAGCACCTGCCCTGTGGACACGGGGGCCCTGGGCACCACACACACACACATGCATGCATGCATACGCACAAACACACATGAACATACACGCACACATGCATACGCACACACACGAAGCACACACGTATACACATGCACACATGCATGCACACACATGCACACAAAACACACACACATGCACATGTGCACACATGCAGATGCGCACACACGCACACACATGCACACAAATGCATGCACACACACGTACACACATCATGCACGCACATACGCACACAAAACGCACACGCACATGCACACACACGCACACATGCACATGCACACACTCACAAGCACACACGTACACATATGTACACAAAACGCACACATGCACATGTGCACACATGCACACACACATGCATGCACACACGTGCACACATCGCGCACGCACATATGCACACAAAACGCACACACACGCACATGCACACACATATGCAGACACACACACGCACACATACAGGACACACGCACACCCACATGCATGCACACACGTACACACGACGCACATGCACACACACGCCCACACACACATACTGGTTGGGCGTGTTCAGTATCTCCCCCTTTCTCGCTACTGGGTTACTGCTGATAGTTCATTCATGATACTGACTTTCGTACCGTGGTGCTGGGTTCAAACCCAAGACTGAGGCAGGCAGAGGCCACATGCTGGCCCTTCCCTGGACTGCTGAGCACGGGAGAAATGCCCCATCTTGTCGCTGAGTCAGCCACAGGCCTTCCTGCCATCTGGACAGAGGAACCGCGGCCCCACCACTGACCCCCGTGGCTCAGAGACGTGGTTCCCAGGACAGGGCGGTGACCGCAGGTCCCACTGCCCCACAGCCCTTGCCTGGATCCCCGTGGGCTTCAGTGACCTCAGGGAGGTCCCCACACGGGGGCTCCCGCAGCACCGTCCCTGGGGATCCTCGGGCCTCCCCCCTGCCCGCCGCTGAAGGCACCAGCAGTCCGACACTTGCCGTCGCCCCCCCCACCCCGCCCCTCGGCTTCCTGTTCGTTCTGAGTCTCTCACTCCTAGCAAACTGTCAGAACATGGCTCGTGCCCACCCACTCCTGAGCTGACCGCACACGCCCACTTCCCTCTAACTGACCAGGAAACCCCCATGCGCCCCCAGAACCCTACGCCCCGGCCGTGGGCCTCTGCGTCTGAGACCTGGCACCTCACCCACCTCCTCCCATCCCTTGGCCCCCGGTGGCATCCCGCCTCCCCCGACACATGCCACCTGCTCACGTGTGCAGGGAACACCCGAGGTAACCGAGGCAGACACCTGAGAGCCGATACTACTGTGCCTTGCTGCGCAATCAATGAACATGCAATAAAACAGCCAGACTGGTATTACTTTCGGAGACGAGAGTGCAGCAGGGAGGTAGGCTGTCCCCCAGGGCCAGCCCAGTGTGACGCTGCAGAGGGGGCATGTGGTTCTGGGGTCACCTGGGCGCTGGGTACATGTGGGGCACGAGCCGGCCTTCTCTCCCGCCGCCCTGTGGCCCACACTTCTGTGTCTGTGTGAGAACTCCTGGCAAAATGCTCCTGCTGTGAGCCGCTGGCTTGGCTTGGGTCGGATTCGTCCACACGGGACCTCGGTGACCCCCACGCCCTCGTTTCAGAGGGACAGAGGCTGCTCGCATCAGAGCATGAAGACTTGAGGTTCAGCGCCTTCCTGGAGGTGCTGCCACACACTCCTCACCCTGATGGGACAGCAGGCTGTGACAGCTTCAGCAGTTGCTTCTGTGAGGCTCTTTGAGCCACGTTCGGGGACAAAGTATCTCACCTCTATGGGCACTGTCAGCGTGTCTGAAGGCAAAACCATCATTTCTTTGGATATTCATTCTATTTTTTTAGCTTTAAATTTATTTATGTATTCATTGCTTTTTGGGTCACACCCGGTGATGCTCAGGGGTGACTTCTGGCTCTGCGCTAAGGAATTACTCCTGGTGGTACTCAGGGGGACCACGTGGGAAGCTGGGAATCGAACCTGGGTCTCCTGTGTGCAAGACAAACGCCTTCCCCACTGTGCTATCACTCCGGTCCCTTCTTTGGGTATTTATTTATTTATTGCTTTTTTAGGTCACACCCAGGGATGCTCAGGGGTTACTCCTGGCTCTGCACTCAGGAATTACTCCTGGCGGTGCTTGGGGAACCATATGGGATGCTGGGAATCGAACCCAGGTCAGCCACATGCAAGGCAGACGCCCTACCCGCAGTGCTATCGCTCTAGCGGGTATTTATTTCTTGAGCAGGTGTTTCAGTTTGAACCCCCAAAGCCTGGCTGGGGCCCTCAGATACCCCTTACTGGATAAGGTCTCCTACATATCCCTGGGCAGAGGAAAGGCATCACCCCCCCCCCCCCATGAGAATTCCTGGGACCCCAAGAAGAGGACAATGGGGTTGTGAGGCATTAAAGCAGGGTGAGCTACTGATTGGCAAATTGGAAATCATTAAATCAGAAATTAGAAAAGCCGGGGACAGGGACACAGTGGGGCCCAAGGGGACAGGGACCTGGTTTGGTCCATGGGACCAGGAACATGGTGAGACCCAAGGGGCCAGGGCAAAGGGGCAGGCAACAGTGAGAACCTTCGCCACCTGAACCAGCGTCTACCTGAATACACCCACAGTTTAAGAACATTCGCTTAAACGTGATTAGGGGCCCCCCAGGAACACATCACGTGACTGATCCTTTTAATTCTACTGAACGCTGCAACTAAAACTGCCTGAGACGCACGCGCGCGAACACAGCAGAAGCCCGTGGCGGCCACCCCCCACGCCCACCCCCAGCCCTTTCCGGTTCCTATATCCCATCTGGACTTTTACACATTCCCTCACTTCCAGATTGTCCGGGCACACCCTGTCCTGGTCCCCTCCTTTCCAGCAGGGAAAGCCGTCGAGAGAGAACAGAACCGGGTTCAGAGTGGCCAGGGTCTCCCTGCGAGGGGAGAGCGGCGCGGGGGCCCCCAGGACAGCCTCCTCTGGCGGAGAGGCTTTGTGTGGAATCACCCTGGCCGCGTCCCGGGCACGAACACCCCCTCACACGCTGAATACACCCTCCCTCTGCCGCTGACGACGACGACGGCTCCTGTTGGCAACACCCGGAGGATATGGGCACAGCACAGGGGTCAAGCAGGTCACTCCAGCCGTGCGTGGGGCCTTCAGGGCAGCGCCGGGCAGAGCTCAGGGGACCCTGTGGTGCCGGACTGAACCGCCGCCGGCTGCCTTGAGGCAAGCGGCTCAGCCCCTGTGCTAGTTCTCTGACACCCACCGCCCAGCTCATCCCTGAAAAGAGAAACTAGAAGCCAGACTGGAAGACCAGTGGCGGGCGGACCCCCTCGCCTGAGTCTCCCTGGCTGCGGTGCTGGAGGGGGTGGTCCAGAGGCGAGTTCTCCCCACCCAGGTTTCCGGACAGGGTGGCTGGGCCCTGGGGCCAGCACGGGGCAGCGCGGGGGCAGCAGGCCTCAGCACCCCGCCCGGTCAGCTGACGGATGCAGCGCTCGCCCGGAAACTAGCTAAGTGGCTCCCTTAGAGCAGCTAATGGAGACAAATCGCTCCCGAGGGCAGATGGGACCGAGATTGGGGAGAGGACGGAAGGTGCCCATCTCCCATCTCGGCTGCGGGGAACTTGAAAGGGTTTGGCATAATGATGCGAGAGCCCCGGTCTGGATGCCAGCCAGAAGCCAGGGCCCAGGGCAGGGGCACGGAGCCACACACAGCAGCACGCGGGCGAGATGCTATCGCGATCCTGGCCACGACGGGGGCCGGGGGTCCCCCTGGATCCCCGCCCTGCTCTGCGGCAATGACTCGGGGCACATTTTCCTGAAAGAGGAAAAAGAGGCTTGCTGCTGCTGCTAGTGACGGAGAAAACGGGGGCTCTGGTGTGGGTGGCGCGGGCTCTCCCCCAGGCAGAGAGAAGGGAGGGGAGGGAGGTCGGGGAAAGGCACAGGCCAGAGAAGGGAAAACGGGCTAGAGTGATAGCACAGCGGGGAGGGCGTTTGCCTTGCACGTGGCCGACCCGGGTTCGTCCCCAGCATCCCATAGGGTCCCCCCGAGCACTGCCAGGAGAAATTCCTGAGTGCAGA